AAATGAAGGAGCTGGTCATTGACTTCCGGCTACATCAATGGTGCTGAGACAGAGATGGTCGAGAATGTCAGGTTTCTGGGTTTGGTGATCACCAACAATCTGTCTTGGTCCATCTACGTTGATGTGATGGTTAAGTAGGCACAACACCACCTCTACTTTCTCAGGAGGCTGAGGAAATTTGGCATGTCCACAAAGACTGTTTCCAATTTTTACAGATACACTATAGGATGCTTTCTATCTGGATACATCACAGCTTAGTATGACAACTGCTCTTCCCAAACAGTAAGAAACTATGGAGAGTTGTGAACACAGCCCAGTCATAGAACATAGAACATAGAACTGTACAGCACAGGAACGGGCCCTTCGGCCTATGATGTTGTGCTGAACATGACACCAAATTAAACTAATCCCTTCTGCCTGCCCTGGGTCCCTATCCCTCCATTTCTTATGTATTAATATGCTTATCTAGAAGTCCCTTAAATGCCCCTATCATATCTGCCTCCCACAGTCCATCATGCAAACCAGCCTTCCATCCGTTGACTCCATCTATACCTCTCATTCCCTCAGGAAAAGCAACTGACATAATAAAAGAACCCGTCCTACTCCAGTTATACTCTTTTACATTCTATTCCGTCGGGCAGAATATCTAAAAGTTTGAATACACATAAGAATAGATTCAAGAACAGCTTTTTGCCTGCTGTTAACGAACGAACCTCTCTATGTTAATATTGATATCCCTCACTATACCTTCTGTGCGACTGTAACACTGTATTCTGCACTCTGTTCTGCTACTCTGATGCATTTTGTTTCATATGATCTGCCTGTACGGCACGCAAAACAACACTTTTCACTGTATCTCGGTACATGTGACAACAATAAATCAAACTCAAACTCAAACGTACTTGGTTTGTCTCACTACACAGGAAAGGAACAGTTAGTGAAACATTGTTAGTTATATTCTCAAGGAAATCTGCCTTGTCTTGCAACTGCTGTCTGTTTACAGATTTCTGTCTGTGTTTATTTTTGGTATATCAAGGGAGAAGTAAATTTCATCATCAGTTTCAGCATCAATGTCCAGTTTATCCATTCGCAATGTTGGGTCTACCCACAGTTTTTACCTTGTAGTGGGTAAAGTGCTTTTGTGTTGGCAATCATTTTTATCTTGCACCTCTTTTTACCAGTTCCTGCAGCTTTCTATTTTCTTTATCCAACCGTAAAGCACACAAATGGGCACCATCGACAAACTTATTATGGACAGTTTCTAACTCAATCGTTCCTTTCATAACCTCTTTCGAAAGTCTGTCAGGGATACTCTCATGATTACCATTGCATATTTCTACAATTTTCAGTACAGCTCCCATTGCCAATGACCCTAACTTTTCCATTAAACTATCTACAAATTGCATTTTTGAATACGCCAGTGACACGACTTCAATTAAAGAGTGCAGCTTCTTACAGCTTCTCAAACGTAAAGCCAATTAAACTGTTACTCCCATGATACATCAGTTAGTTAGATAAATAAAGTATACAACCTTGACAATTGGGGATGGTTCACTGATACTGGAGGACAAACAGGATGTCGGCACAGATTGATTTGGTCTCAATCCTCAAGAATTCCCACTCTGGGCACGGTCACCATAGCAACTGATGCCCTGCTGCCGCTACCTAGAGTTCCCGATCTGGGCCTACCACAATCAGGACTCCGTGTTGTAGGTGGATCCTGTAGGTCACTTACAATGAAACAAGGTTGGAACCTTGCTGTTTTGGATCAAAAATATTACAAATTTTTTTTTGTACAAAAAATACACAAGAAATGCACAAAATAATACACAATGTCTGATGCTGTAGGCAAAGTGGCCAGAGTATGTTGCTATTTTATCTTCTGAGCCGGTGTAAAAGTTTTGGAATTGGAAGGCCTGCTCAGGGAAATTGAAATAATCATGCCTCCACCGGTTTAGTAATGCCACTCAGCAGGATTCAATTTGCACCTCATCAACTGGTCATTCATTGTCCAAGAAAGCACATTTAAGAATTATGGTTTCCAGCCAACATGACGTTGTATGCACCAGTTGCCTCCTTGTCATGTCAGCTAAGCAAAGTAATCAGACAACAGCACTTATAACTAGGACCTGAGCTTTCCATTTTACAAACACATTCCATACCTAGCACCAGGGGACAATGCATTTGCAATGCCGCATTTACAACTAAACTGTAAGTGTGCAAGGTCGTGGTCTGCCATGTAGAAGGGAACTTTTTCTTTGTTTAGGGTGGTGATTGTTAGCTGTGCCAGATACTCTGAAAGGTATCCTGATTCCTATATACTAAAGAACTCTCAGATTACTGCTGTCTTCAAAGTCCTCAGGCATTATAGGGATGGCTGCTGGGAGACAAGACGTATTGCCACAAAACAAGACTCATGATACCTTTTACGAAGCCCTCAGACTGACACAGAATGAAGATACAACACTGCTCACACTTCCACCAAGACCATAGTGGAGCAGAGCATAAGCATCCTTAAGGTGAGTCCTCGATGCCTCGACTGCTCCATGTAGTCTTGCCATGTAGTCCAGAAAGGCAACGTCGCATCATAGTGGTGTGCTGTGCCCTTCACAACTGGAGCTGACAAAGGAAGAATATTCTGATTGCAGAGGAAATGGGGGATTCACGGCAATTTTCTGAGGATGAGGATCAGAGCACTCACCAGGAGGGCCGTCCTAGAGACCATGACACAGCAATGCATCATGGAACATGAAGAGACTGAGATAACCAGTTTTAAACCCACTCTCAGGATGAAATTGTTTCAAATTCTGTTGGTAATCTGGCAAGCAACCCCCACTTTGTGTAAAGGATGTGTGATTTTTGCAGTCATTGAGTTTTTTCTGCCACTGAATAAATATCTCATTCTCCATTTTCTTTGCACACTGGATATCTTTGGGTGATCCCGCTTTAAAGTACCTTTTACAATATCCACACAGACATAAGGTGAGGTAGTTGTAAAGGCTTTAGTTAGTTTACCGTATCCAAGTAGAGTTTCTCATCATAATCAGAATTCCTATCCATTAATAGGAATTTTGAGGAATCCTCTTCACCCTTCCATTGTCAGTAAACCTTGACTGTTTCAGAGTGAGTGTAGACTGCTAAGGTGCCTTGCAATGCTTGAGCATTCTCTAGGACATTAAGACCATAAGACCATAGGAAACAGAAACAGGAATAGGCCGTTCAGCCCTCAGCCTGTTCTGTCATTCAATAGGATGGCTGATCTGACATTTCTCATATCCAAATTCCTGTATTTTCCCCATAACCCTTGATTTCCTCTACTGATCAGTAATCTATCTGTCTCAGCCTTAAATATACAGCTTTGGTCCAATACTGGACAAAACAGCTAAACCCCAGGGGTGAGGTTTGAGTGACGGCCTTTGACATCAAGGCAACACTTGACCAAGTATGGCTTTAAGGAGCTCAATGATAAACTGGAGTCAATGGGGGTTAGGAAGAAAACGCTATTGCTTTTAGTCACACCTAGCACAAAGGGTGGTTGTTGTCAAATGTCAGTCATCTCAGTCCAAGAACATCTCTGCAAGAGCTCTTCAGGGTAATGTTCTCAGTCCAAGTGTCTTCAGTTGCTTCATCAATGAACCCCCCCCCCAACCCCGACCTTATTCCATCATAAGCTCAGGGACAGGATGTTTCACTGTGTCTTCACAACGTTCAGCACTATTCATCAATCCTCAGATACTGAAGCAGTCCACATCAATATGCAGCAAGACTTGAGCAATATCCAGGCTTCAGCAGATAAATGACAAGTGAGATTCATACTACACACTGACCATCTCCAACAAGAGAGTATCTAACCATCACCCTTTGACATTCAATTACATTATCACTTCTGGGGATAACTGTTGACCAGAAAAACTGAACTGGACAAGCCATATGAATACTGTCCCTACAAGAACAGGTCAGAGACTAGGAATTCTAAAGCGAGTATCTTGCATCCTGACTCCCCAGTACCTGTTCACCATCTACAGTACACAAGGTAGGAATGTGATGGCTTAATACTGTCCACCTGTCTTAATGTGCAGCTTCAACAACACTTGGATTTAACATTATCCAAAGCAGCTTGAATGATTGAAACCCTGACGTGACCCTCAACAGTCTGTGCACAGACTTGGAACGATGTCGCCATTCCTTCCCTGTTGTTTAGTCAAAATTCTGGAATTCCCTGCCTAAAAGCATTGTGAATGTACCCACACAAAATGGACTGCAGAAGTTCAAGAAGGCAGCTCAGCGCCACCTTCTGAAGGATGATTAGGAATGGCCAATGTATGCCGTCAGAGTCAGCAAAGCCCTTACCTTACAAATGAATTAAACAAAAAATCAATCAGCAGAATGCGCTGGGGTCTTGAGGTATTGTAATCTAGTACTGCAGTCATTCTGATCACAATCAATATTACAGAGTACATCAATATCAGATTTTAGTACGTATCTCAGATGCGGAAAACCGATTATCTGAGTTGGCTGACTGGATATCTTTGGAAATCACTTTGTATCTCCCAGTTATCGTCTTGAAATGACTCGACAGATGTACTGTGTATAACTAGATTTTGCTTTACTGTGATTGGAGATTTTTACTGATTAAAGTTGTGAATCTTTCAAAATTCTGGTGCCAGATTCATACTTTCTTTGGCGCTCTCATGGGTACCCAGATATTGGGATGCCAAATTGACAATTATTGATGATTCCTAAATAAAAGCAGTGGTTAAGTTAATAATTTGGGTGTGTATCCTTCCAGAACTGAAATTAAGTTATAACCATGTTTGGCGCTTCTGAACGTGTTACTTCATACACTGACAGGTTGTTTCATGGGAATTGCAATTCTAGCTCACAACGGCCTTCAGTGCTTAACAGTAACTTAGTCGTACACACCAACGTGGTGCTCATGAACACATTCACTGCATCTTCAGCTGAACATTTATTGTATTTCTTATTTTTTTTTCCAGAATACCCATGTAAAATATGTGGATCTGGGTGGAGCTTATGTGGGTCCAACTCAAAACCGAATCTTACGCCTGTCAAAGGAATTGGGCCTGGAGACTTACAAAGTGAACGAAGTGGAACGTCTTATATATTACAGAAAGGTAAAGTAATGTTAGGGTCTGAGTTAATTCGTATTCCTACAAATAATCTCAAGACAGGCTGATACAAAAGGTGAAGTCACATGGAATGCGCTGTGAGCTGGTAAGCTGGACACAGACTTGGCTTCGTCATAGACAGAGAGTAGCACTTGAAGGATGTTTTTCTGACTGGAGTTCTGTGACCAGTTGTATTTCACAGGGATCAGTGCTCAGACCCCTGTTGTTTGTAATAATTATAAAATGATTTGGAGGATAATGTATACGGCCTGATTAGTAAGTTTGCAAACAACTCAAAGAAATGGGGGTGCTGTAGATCAGTGAGGAGGATTGCCAGAGGATACAGCAGGATATAGATGGGCTGGACACTTGGGCAGAGAAATGGCAAATGGAATTTATTCCAGACAAATGTGAGGTGATGCGTTTTAGAAGATTTAATGCAGGACGGAAATATACCGTAAATGGCAGAACCCTTAGAAGCATTAACATAGAGGGATCTGGGTGTTCAGGTCCACAGTTCTGAGTGGGCAACACAAGTAGATAAGGTGGTCAAGAAAGCATATGGCATATAGCCTTCATCATTCAGTCCATGGAGTTTAAAAATTGGCAAATCATGTTGCAGATATATAGAACTGTAGTTTGACCACATTTGGAATATTGTGTACAGTTCTGGTTGCTACACTACCAGATGGATGTGGAGGCTTTGGAGAGGTTACAGAAGTGGTTTATCAGAATGTTGCCCAGTTTAGAGGGTATTAGCTATGAGGAGAGATTGGACGAACTTGGTTTGTTTTCACTTGAACATCAAAGGATGAGAGGCTACTTGATAGAAGTTTACAAAATTATGAGAAACATGAATCGAATGGATAGTCATAGTCTTTTTCCGAGGGTGGAAATGTCAATGATGAGGGGACATAGGTTTAAGGTAAAAGGGGGTAAGTTTAAAGAAGTTGTGAGAGGCAGGTTTTTTTACACAGAGGGTGGTAAGTGCCTGGAATGTGCTGCCAGAGGAGGTGGTAGAAGCAGATACAATAGCAATGTTTGAGAGGCTTCCTGACAGATATATGAATAAACAGGGCATAGAAGGATCAGACTATGTAGAAGCGAAAAGTTTTTAATTTAGAAAGGCATCATGTGTCCGTGCACACTTGGTGGCTGAAGGGCATGTTCCTGTACTTTACTATTCTTTGTATAACACTTCTGTCCATGTGAAGCAGTGTGTTTGGAGATCTTCCTGTCTACCAGAAAACTGATCCTAAGTGTGTGATATGTAAGATATCACATTTTATTACAGATGAAAAATGAGCCTAAAATCTTAGCTATTTTGGAACTGCAACGTTTTGTGAATAAAACAGCAGTTAGATTGTTTATTTACATAAATTGGTTTCTCAGGTGCATAAATGGTGCACTTCTATCATTACAAGAAGGTCAATTATCCAGTTTATCATGGGCTAGACAATAGGGACATCATTGGGAGATTAATAGCTAAATTAGAATGTGTGCTCTATGGAAACAACAAACCTGATGCTTTGGGGGTGTTAGTGGGGGGGGGGGGGGGGGTGGAACGGTCTCGTGTCATGTTTTGTTTTAATAAACCAGTGTTCATTGTTGTCTATTTTGAGACTGAACGTTTATTGTGATAGTATATTTTTTAAAAATGTTCTTTCTAGATTTACTGAAAATTGTAGGTATCAGTTTATAATTGCATTTAAAGTGCTTGTGGATTGAGCCAGCCAAGTGTAAAGTCTATGAATAAAAATGGCCAATTGTTAATATTTATTAGAACTTAGAAAGTTTTAGTAAATTATTGGGCAAGATCCATTCTAACCTATGCAAATACAACATCCTATTTTGGAAAGCAAACGGAAGCATATACTTGTAAATAATTATGATCTATTTAGGCATAGTGACTGCCTTCTATTTGTGGGTGACACTTTTTGTCCCATAAACATGCAAGAACAGTTTGACCCATTTTGAACACGTTGGGAAAACAATAATCTCAAGCATGAAACAAGCTGGATCAGATTCAGAATAAACACCCTGAGCTCACTACAGCATTTCATTTTATTCATTCACGAGATGAGGATGTTGCTGGCTAGGCAGCATTTATTGCCCATCCCTCGTTGCCAGCCGTCCTGCACCAGAGTTCGACAGGAGGCTCCTCCATCAACATGACCAATGGAATTTAAATGGGAACTCCGCATGAAATGAGTGGTTTAATTTTAAGTACTCGTGCAATCCTTTCCTGCTGATCACAGAGCTCAGATTTGTGGAAGGCAGGCAGTTTCTCAGAGTACTTCTGCAAATTCAAGTGGTTTCATGGCAACACAGGAATGACCAACCCTGATGATTGTAAGCAGAATTCACTATATTGTATTTATATCCATAATTTCTTTCAAGTTTCTTGGTGACCACCTGTGAAATGATTCTTTATAAAATGACTGATGTTATCAGCCTTAATTTCATTTTAGGATGTACAATCCAAAGAATCAGCAAATATTTTATCTGAAATGAGGGGTTGATCACAGATGGATTCTAAAAAGAATGTTGAATGATTCACTTGTGCAGTTTACTAGCCACTTGGTGAAGACCAAAATCTATCCAGTGATTTTTTTTTGTACACAGAATTCAAGACTGTATTAGAATTTCATGAAATCAATTTCATAGTATGTAGCTTCTCCAGACTAACATGCTCAAAGTTCTTTTGAATATGAACTCCCCAATAAATTGCTCCTTTGCTTACATGCTACATAAATACCTGGGATATCAGGACATTGGTGAATACTGTGTGCAATTCTTGTCTCTCTGCTGTAGGAAGGATGTTGTAAAACTTGAAAGCATTCAGAAAAGATTTACAAGGATGTTGCCAGGGTTGGAGGGTTTGAGAGGGAGAGGCTGAATTGGCTGGGGCGATTTTTGCTGGAGCGTCAGAGGCTGAGGGGTGACCTTATAGAGGTTCATGAAATCATGAAGAGCATGGATAGGGTAAATAGATAAGGTTTTTTTATCTACCCAGGGTGGGGGAGTCCAAAACAAGAGGGCATAAGTTTAAGGTGAGAGGGGAAAGATTTAAAAGGGACCTGGGGGTAACGTTTTCACGCAGAGGGTGGTGCATGTATGGAATGAGCTGCCAGAGGAAGTGGTAGAGGCTGGTACAATTACAATATTTAAAAGGCATCTGGATGGGCGCATGAATGGGAAGGGTTTAGAGGGATATGGACCAAATGCTGACAAATGTGACTAGATTAATTTTGGATATCTGGTCGGCACGGACATGCTGGACCAAATGTTCTGTTTCTGTGCTGTATGTCTTTATGACTCTATGACTGTACATTGCTGGCTTCTGGGGGCTATGCTTTCCACCACTAAATTAAACAGTTAACTACATTCTTAGTTTGCCACCCACCAATTGAAATACAATGGAGCTGACCAGCAGCAGGAATAGATACAGCCAGAGTTTGTAGCAGTAATGGATTACGCAAAGTAAAGGATATCATTAATCGTCTTTGCCTGGCAAACTGTGAGTCTACCTATAATCTTGCCTGTTGTTTTACGAAGTTGCAGTTGGTAAGTGTCCCACACAAAATCCCACTGCAGAAGTTTGAGCACGTAACCCAGGATAACACTGCAGCAAAGTACAGACTTTGATGGACCAGAAATAAACTTTTGGATAAGTTCATGGAATGAGGGTGCCACTGACTAGGCCAACATTTTAATGCCCATCCCAGAGGGCAGTTAAGAGTCAAACACATTGCTGTGGGTCTGGAGTCACATGTAGGCCAGACCAGGTAAGGATGGCAGTTTCCTTCCCTGAAGGGCATTAGTGAACCAGATGGGTTTTTCCTGACAATTGACAATTGATTTGTGGTCATCATCAGACTCTTAATTCCAGATTTTTATTGAATTCAAATTCTATCACCTGCCATGGCGGGATTTGAACCCCTGTCCCCAGAACATTACCTGAGTCTCTGGATTAACAGTCCAGCAATAAAATCGCTAGGCCATCGACTACCCTTAAACCAAGATCTTAAACCAAGGCCCTTTGCAGAGCTTGGGAGCATGTTGCACTATTTCAGGTGAGTTTTAAAACCAAGGTTCAGTCCATCAGTTTAGGTTCAGTATTCCATGGTACTGTCTTGACATGCAGTAGAGGGAAGTCCTCTCACTGCCTGACCAATACTTCTGTGCTTTGCTGTTTGCACATTTCTGTGTATAAGTTGCTATTGTTCATACATAATAACGATTGTATTTTCCAGTAGTTGCTATAGTCTCAGAAATCATGCTTTTAGAGTTGAGGAGTAAATTCTTACAAATCTTACAGCTGCTCGCAATACCAAAGGAGAATGTGTCACTTACTTGACTAAAGAACTTGTTTTTGAAAACCTATTGCTAGAGGCAGAGTTCATGTCACAATTTTTTGTGCATTTTCAACACAGCATGGAGCTGGAGGAACACAGCAGGTCAGGCAGCATCAGAGGAGCAGGAAAGTCGACATTTCGGGTTTACACCCTTCAACAGGATTGGGGAGGGGGAAGGGAGCTTGGAAATAAATAGAGGGAGGGAGTTGGAGCTGAGGGAAGGTAAGTGGGATGGTGAAAGGTGGAGCTTCAGGGTGGAGGAGATCAGTGGGTTGCAGTGGGAGGGAAATCCACTGAGATCTTTTCAGAGGGAGGAGGACAACTTCTTCAAAGTGTGCATCCTTGGAAGAAGCTTCGCAGTGGGGTTTTCAGTCACTCAGAGATAGCCCTCCCCCTCCCCAGCCCTGATGAAGGATGTCAACCTGAAGTGTCAACTTTCCTGTTCCTCTGATGCTGCCTGACCTGCTGTGTTCCTCCAGCTCCACACTGTATTGACTCTGACTCCAGCATCTGCAGTTCTTGCTATCTTTGTACATTTTGCCTATTGGTCAGATCAATCAATCCTTGTTCAAACAGAAAAGATATTTAGCAGTTTTGATCAGTTCTTTGATTTTCTATTGATGCAGAACAAAACCTTTTCAACGACCT